GCTTCATCTGCCCAGGCCAACCGCATCAAGAATTCTGACCTGACAGTGGGTTATGAGTGGCAGGTGGGCTCCACTGGAACGTGTGCTTGCTGCCCTACCAGGGGTCTACCTGCCCCTCAAGCACCCTTCCCTGCTGGAGAACTGGAATCATCTAGATGTCAGGTTATCTGAGTAGCTGCAGGCATGGGCAGGCCTGTTGCAGCATCTTTCCCTTCATGGGAGGGCACTAGTCATCATCCAGCTAGTTTTGTCCATGCTCTGACACTGTTTTAACACCCTGGCCATGCTCCCAGAGCTCCTGGGCAGGCCCAGAGGAAGGCACTGGGGTTCTTCTGGCTAGGACACTGGGTCTCTGCAGAGATCCTGAGCCTCCCTTTATGGGAGGATGGTCAGGGCTGTTTTACCTCCGCAGCCAGGTCCACATCTTCCACCTTCAGGCCTTACAGGGGCTCCTGTATGGTGCCGGTAGCCAAGTAGCATGATGCCTGGTTGGCCGTACCTGCCTCTGCCTCTGAGGGTTCCAATATGACTGCAGTTCTTCTATCTGTGAGGTCTCCCCAAGCAGGAGCTGGTGGAGCTGGTGGATTTCTACCAGGACCTCCTCAGGGTCTGGAGGCTGGTCTCCACCTCCAGGTCCTTAGACATCATCACCCAGGACACTGAGCTCCTCACCAAACCCCTGCTGAAAAAACCCTGGTGGGTGGTGCCAGCAATGGAGGTGCCCTGGGTGCACAGGAGGGTGATCCTGACCAATATAACTCATATCAGGGACCTCCTGGACTATTCCAGGCAGGGGTGGGCAGATCCCTCTGCACTGGCCTGACACATGGAGCTGCCCAAGCTGCATGCTCTCTGCTGCTTAGTACAGGAGTTAAAGACTGCTTTGCGATCCATTGCCCTCATTTACATCAACCAGGTCCTGTGGGTGGGCTGTTCCCCCCCTCCCTCCCTCCACCTCCCAGCCCTGAAGAGTTAGTCATTGGGCTGCTCCCAGGAGGGAGCACTTTGATGGCTGCCAAAGTGAGGCATGGCAGTGCAGAGTTGTACCTCGTTGCTGCCGGGTGGGCAGGGGACACCTTACCTGGTAGCCATAGTGGCGCAATGTTGCCTCCTGTGTTGGGTCCTGTCTGATAGGCTGCAAAGGTGGCCAGGCCTGGCTGCAGGCCCACACCCCACTGTTGGCACAGAAATTTGGGGGGGCACATGCCCCTCTGGCCCCCCATGTGCCACCTGTGCCCCCACCGCTGCATTGCCCATGCCCCCCCATGCTTCACCTGTGCCACACCTTCCGCTCCCCATAAACTTACCTGGGGGGAGATGCTCTCCACTACACTGCTTGGCTGCCACATGCATGTAAGTGCAGGCACATGCACATGGCATCCCCTGCCCTCTGCATCCTGCTCTACCCCAGCCCTAAACAGTCTGCAAGGGGAAACCCACAGATATTTGTGTTCATGTGCATCACTTTACATTATATTGAATTTCATCTGCTGTTTAGTTGCCCATTCACTCAAATGTGCCAGATATCCTTCTGTAGTTTCTCGCACTCCACTTTGTCTTCACTATTTTGAATAATTTTGTGTCTTTTACAAATTTGACCACTTTGCTACTCATCCCCTTCACCCCACCCTTATTTTAGTTATCAAGCCTGAATTCCTTTTCCTATTTCCTTCCCTCCTGCTTTTCTGCAGATGTTCTGAATTCAGTAAGGAAGAGAAACTTGTCCTCATTGTGGCAAAGAATACAGTTTGCTATTTTAGGGAAAAATAGATTTTGTCTCTTTATGTGGGTAAGGTTTCATTTCCTAGTGGTTTCACTTCCCAGTGGTTGAGGTAAGGACTGATAAAGGAACTGTAAAATCTCACTTCTTACTTGAAAAGAAGAGCAGTTCAGTCATTTACTTCATTTCAGTATGTGTACTAGCTGGGCAATTCTCAAAATTCAGTTTGGAAAAAAAATCAGATTTCATTCAAACTGCAGAAAAGAACATAACACATGTATATTACAATTGTAAGAAAATCTCAGAGAAATTTTGAAAAAAAAATCAGAACTTTTGAAAAACAGAATTCTGAGTTTAGGGGACTCTTTCAGTTTCTTTCCACCTACTTGTATGGCCTTCATTACCACAGTAAATCAACAATTTAATTTAGTATAATTAGGTGTTGAATAAATTAAGGAGAACTTTTGAAGGCTATGCATGTTGCATTTTGAATGCCCTCTAGTCGTAGGTTTAATTGCAATAGCTCTTTAAGGCTTCCAAAGCAGCAGGCAATGACTATTAGATGTGGAAGGGACTGGGGCTAGTCAGCTTTAGGGCTTCTGATACCACTTCCCCTACTTTGCAAGGTTTCTCATACAGGCAGTCCTTGACGTGCAACGTTTCAAGTTACAATGTTTTGCACTTACAATGTTTATAAATTGATACCATTTCAACTTTCTGATGGCAGTTTCGACTTTACAATGCTTGATTCGATGCCATGCCATGCTATACCAGCGAACAAGTTTTCTGTGTCATCCATCTCCCTGGAGAAAATGTGTCCAAACTTCCTTGGACGATATCTTTAAGAAAGCAGACAAGACGCCAGAAAAACCTGCAGCCAAGACTCATGAGAAGACTCCAGCCAAGAGCCCTTCAAAAAGTTCAGCAAAGTTACCTCAAAGAAGTCCTTCCAAATCAATATGATTGCTGTTTATAATATTAATACATTAATGTAGCTATATTACTCATCTATAATTGATCGAGTACAAAATTCTGGGGCTATTCTTGGTGAAAATAGGGTATCATGCCTTGGTTCAGGAACCAATCCCCCATTTATAACATTGTTTCTTATGGGAAAATAGGTTCCGAGTTACAACTTTTCGACATAAGACATGGTTTTCAGGAACCAATTATGTCATAAGTCTAAGGACTGCCTGTAGTCAGGTTTAGGGTTGCTAATGTTACAGCGCTAATAGCAGTATACTTAAGGTACATTGCTTGTTTAAACAACTTTGCTTACAGCACTATAAACAGTACCACTTTGTATTACTATTAGGGGTACAAACTTTGTTTTCAAAGTTTTTCTAATAGTCAGCATTGATGCTGCTATTTGAGAATGATGGGTGTTACCAGCCATGAATCTGCTGCTGTTACTCTGGAGTCTTTTAATAGCAGCTTTTTGACAGCTGTTTTCCCTTTAGTGGTTCTGGCTCAAATACAAGGATTACAGCTAGTTCCAAAGTAAGTAGGTACAGTTAGGATGCAGTTAACCAGGGTACAATTAAGTTACAAAGTTGAAGGCAAAGCTAAAAGGTGCTATGCATTTAAGATTTTAATTTATGCTCTTACTCAATATGCAATAGGCAAGAAATTTGGGTTAGCATTGTGCTAGGTAGCTAAGTAAAGTATACGCTTATCTGGCATGTATAGACATGGAGTACCCATAATATTTGCTTTTCACAAGCACAAATACTGGAATGCACCCACTTGGCTTTAGTCACAGAAAAGTTAAGGTATAAATGAGAGCGAATCAAGTTAAGTTTTATGAGAATGCAAACCTAAAGTTTTCTAGCAAATATTAGAGGTAGAAAATCCAACTTCAGGAAGCTTTCAGAGAATGTTGGCTTTAAAAACTACAATTTTGCAACAGCAGGACTTCGAGAGAGGGCCTAGTTAAGCAGTGTTGTTTGAAAGGTCAGCCAGGAAACAGCATACTAAGGGAATTATTTTTATCCTGAGGCTTTATGCATTGGCATTCTGTCCTCCAGAAAACTGACCACAGGTTCTTTCAGGGACTTTATTGTATGCGTTGCCTGTGACTCTATTATAATTCGGTCTACCGGAAACAAGATAAGAGCCATGTGTAGTTCAGCATATAGTTAAAAGCAAAACTGGCTGAGGTGGATGGAGCTCCATTACAGCAAGACCCCGTTTATAACAAAAGGGAATGGAAGTCCTGGGTTTCTACAAATTGACATATACTTGTCACATCTCAGCCCATTTCTGCCTCATGGTGAAGAAAGCAAGTTCATGGCGAGAGTCCCGCGTTTGGGGAGATCCTGTGGTTAACTCATTATTTCTTGAATGGGGTGATTCTCAACCCAGGCCCTGGTGAGCTCCTTTTAATGGTGCCACACAATTTAATCCCGGACCCAGGCAGGGTGCAACCCTTTCCCTTGCTTTGCAACATGAGGTTCCTCCGCACTCTCAGGACCAAGCAAAGCTCTTTGCAACAGAAAAATGGACCTGACATCCTTTCCTTATGCCCTGGGTTGGGCTCCTGGGGCACGGGGGCACCAGCCAACCACCCCAGTCATTGCAATGACACCCAGTCAAGCCACCCCATTGCCAGGCCTTAAATATGAAACAATCATATTGGAAGCTCAAAATTATTGTATGTGCTGAAAAGCTATCGTACACTGAACAATTACGCAAGTAAGAACGCATATAAATTGTCATCGTCTTTACTTTATATTGATCACTGTAACTCGCCACTGAGCGATCGAGGGCTGGGTCATCACAGCATTTCTATACTTTGAGGTCAGCTGTCATAAAAAAGCACTGACAGCAAACCCCCAAGTCGGTTAAGGCTCTCCCGACTCGGGCTTTGCATTTGCTGCCCCAATAGCCATCCTACATTTTGAACAGTTTAATTATGATTATTCGTTTTTTGTGCAAACACGGTAATTACGATACACCTGGCAGCACTGCGCCCCGGCCTCTAGTGACAGGAAACGCGCCCCCTGCCCTGCCCTCGCCGGGTTGCAGCAGCGGCTGGGGGGCGGAATAGGAGAGCGCGCGCACCGCGGAGGGGTACTGTGCCCGGCGCTACTGACGTCAGACGCCCTCCGTCCCCGTCTCCGTCCCCGTGCTGGGGTGACGTAGGCTCTTAGGGAGTAACGGCTCCACCGCGCGAGGGGAGGGGAGGGGCGCGAGAACGTCACCCGGCGCGCTGACGGGGTGACGTCACCACCGCGCTGACGTCACCCGGCGCGCCGACGTTGGGTCGGTGCGAGCGGCCCGTCCGTCGCTGGGGCGGCGCCAGGAGGAGCCGCGGGCACCCTAGCCCCTCAGCCTCCCTCGCTGGTGAGTGCGGGGTCGCGGCCACCCCCCTCTTCTCCCCTCCCCTCTCCTCCCCCCAGGACAGGGGATTGCAGGGGCGCTCCCGGGCCGCAGAGGCCCCATGGGGGGGGAGGCGCCTCCTCCTGGGCTCTGGCTGGCAGGTGCCACTCACGTAGCTGGTGATGGGGAGGTTGTTTAGGCAGGCAAGGAGGCTTGAATTGTAGGTGTGCCCCCTCCCTCCCCCCACTTTTCCTTCGTGCTCTTCAGGTAGGTACCATGACCCTGGCCTCTGTTTTTAGCCCCAGAGCCTGGCGAGCTGCAGAAGAGAAGTGGTGTTGTTCCAAGACTGTCTTGCTCTGTCTTGCCATCGTGGGGCTGTCTTTTTCCCTGCCCACCTGCTTGGGGAGGAGCAGACAGGATGCAGGGTTGCTATCCAGTGGTACTGGTGAAAGTGTGGGTGTTCCCAAGTCAGGGAGGTAGAGCAAGGGAGGATGCTGCTTCTGTCTTTTCATTACGGCAGCAGTTGTCAAGTGGGGGTACTTGAGAAGGCCCTAGGGGATGCGCGCGGGTGGCCAGGGACAGGGCGCTGCCATGTACCATCCTGCGCTGCTGCACGGGTGCTGCCCGTGCGGATGGATGGATGCGGGGGGCGGTGGCTACCGCTGCTCCATGCTCAGCCGCATGCCATCCCCCCTGCCATCCATCTGACTTTCCCCCATTCCATGTCCAGCCACCGGTGTCACTGCTCTGTGTCTGTCCACTGTGGGTACACTGATCCAAAAAGCTTGAAAACACTTGGGGTACAGTAATCTGAGGTACCCCAGTGCAAGTTGTGTAAGTAAGAGTGCAGTGTAAGGGTGAGGAGGGGGGTAAAGTCTTTAAATAGTTTGGTCCTCTGGTTAGAGAGAGAGAGAACATGCACTTCATTCTTGCATGAGTCATAGAGAACTAGGGCTGGAGGGGATCTCCAGAGGTCTAGTCCAGTCCAACCCCTTGTCTGAGTCAGGATCCTCCCAGTCCAAATCATCTCTTACAACCATAATCTAATAAACTGTAGTACATGAGGTTGTCATGAGAGCCCTTGTTTAGCAAAGATTATATAAAACACTCAGGCAGATAGTTTCTAGTGTGCCACCATGCCCTACCGTCTGATTGAAAAGCATGCACTTTTGTAGGTAAGAACCTGCTACAACCTTGGATGCTACCAGTGGATGTACTAAGAAATTATTTTAACTTCCATTTTTTTTTGTCAAATGGAAAGTGCCCAGGGAGGTAGCATTGACACAGTGGATTAATTGCGTGACACCTACAGGAGAAATGAAAGCAAGATCACATTCTGATTGTGAGCAGCTGTCATTTAAAGTACATGGACCTCTGCAAAACGTATGCATCTTGAGCACATAATAAATTTTCTTTTACATGAAAAAGCACTTGTTAGAGCCTTCACTGACAAACTCCACATAAGTGTCTGTTGCTTCCACTGTTGAACATGGAGAACTGCGTGTTGCACAATTGGCTGTGGCAGGAGAAGAGGATCACCTGTTACTTCCTCATTCTTTAAGTGAAGGGCAATGGTGGAGAGAGGCACTTTTTCCTTGACAGCCATGGCAGGGGAATTAACAGTGATTACTCAGATACATACCATGCTGTTTCAGTGAATGTTAGGAGCGAGATCATCTTAACAATTAACTCCCTGCACTTGTCCCATTGAGTTCAGTGGGATGTTTCCAATGTGCATAGTTACTCCTATGAGTTTATAGGCTAGGTGGTTGGCAATAAATATTTGTTTCCTACCCTTTACCTTCAAGCCAAATGTTACCTTGGCCACTAAAAGACTCCATAAGAGCCATGTTGCCACTGTTCACTAGAGAGCAATATGGTGATTCAGAGACTGTACTGAGACACAGGACATCTATATTATTTCTCATGATCTATGAAGGTTTTGTGGGCCCTGCTGAGCATTCTGTGGTTGAACGGAGACTTTTCCTGGCCTAATGGAAGGTGATGTACAGCAAAGTAACCAAAATAGGGGCAAGAGGAAATATGGACTACAAATGCAGAGCCTTAAAATTGGAGCTGACGTAGTTGACTCAGAAAGGCTTGAAGGGAAATCAGTGCCGATAACTTCAATAATGAGTTCTAAAGATGCTGTGGCCATCTACATCAGTATCTTGGGACCATGCATGTTATGTCCAGAAAAATACCTTTGGTAGTTGAGATTTCTTCTAAAAGTGCATATAAATAGAAGACTAAGTGGAGCTCCATGTAATAACTTGCCACAGAGAAAGGAGTGGGTTAGGAACTGGGATTCTAGAGGGGGGCCTTCGAACTTTGTGGCTCCTCCCCTAAAAAATAATTCTTTTGAGCTGATTCAGTAAAAATAATCCTCACCAGGGAGTCGTGCTTGGGCTGGGTAAAGAGTCTGTTCTGTTGTGCTGCTCAACTTGGCATTTGAATATTGCACCTTGGAAATGTTTACCCTTTTCTGAGGTCATTAAGTAACGTTCTTAATATAAATTGGGACATATCAGGAGGGTTTGGTCAAGGTGTTCAGTGATAGGAACTGGTACATAGTGGATGCAGCCAGACTTGCAGCCAATGCCCGCCACCAGAATCGGGGTATGGAGGTCTACTGGGATGTGAGCAAAGGCTCAGTTCACCTGCATGACACAGTGATGCCACTGCTGGGTCTGGATCCAGCCCCAGGGAGCGTTAGGGTCTACATTTGGTCTGGAAGAGCCAAGTGAATTTGATACCCGTTTGAATTTTTACAAAGCATGAAGGTATGTTTAGTGTGCTAGATTCTGCCCTTGTTATGTGCAGGTAACCTCTTCTATGTTACTTTGTTTGGTGTTATTGGGTGTAAAATACGTGCTTTTGATTTTCTGGAAGGATGAAAAGAGAATTAAAAAATAAGATCATAAAGTCTCTGTTCCCTTCTCTCTGCAAATTATGGATTTAAAAGGTAGAAGCTACCAGTATGACATATGCCTGCTTCTCTCTGTCAGAAGAAGCAATTATTACAAGTTAGTCTGACTTTCTTCATAACATAGGCCAAGATTTTCACTCTCTGGACCTTGCTTCTATGGTGGTGATTAACATTCTGCTTTAAAAACAATCTTGGCTTTCATTCAGTCTTCCTTGTAAAATATACTGCATGCCAGGCTTCTTAATAAACTGTTTTGCCAAGAGCAGGAGCACAGCTGCCCTGCTGGGCTTTCCTGAAACCCATGCATTAGGATTTGAAAAAGGAAATGAAATTCCTTTGAAAAGTGCTACTTGTACCTCAGGTAGGGCCAAGGAGGTGATCCTCCCCCTCTATGCAACACTGGTCAGGCCACAGCTGGAGTACTGCGTCCAGTTCTGTGCGCCCCATTTCAGGAGGGATGTGGATAACATTGAAATGGTCCAGAGGACGGCCACCTGCATGATCCGGGGACTACAGGGCAGACCCTACATTGAAAGGCTGTGGGACCTAAACCTGTTCAGCCTTCACAAGAGAAGGCTGAAGGGGGACCTGGTGACTGTCTATAAACTCACTAGGGGGGACCAGAAGGGTTTAGGGGAGACACTGTTTCCCCTAGCGCCCCCTGGCATGACAAGGAACAATGGACACAAATTATTAGAGAGTAGGTTTAGATTAGACATCCGCAAGAACTACTTCACAGTTAGGGTGGTTAGGAGCTGGAACCAACTTCCTAGGGAAGTGGTGCTGGCTTCTACCGTGGGGATCTTTAAGAAGAGGCTTGATGACTACCCGGCTAGACTCATTTGAGTCCAGTCTTTTCTCCCACCCAGGCGGGGGTCGGACCTGAAGATCTACAGGGTGCCTTCCGACCCTACTTCTGTGATTCTATGATAAGTGACTGGATAGATGAAGGTTGGCTTTTTTGCTTGGTCTTGCATCTTGAAGGCTGTCCCGAGGCCAGGATTTTACAGCATGATGTGCAGCTCCAAATCAAGTTAGTAAGTTACTGTGCAGACTTGTTTTTAGAAGGTACCAAATTCCTTCTTAGCTGAGACTTCCCTTACTAATGCAGCAGTGTGTTGAAATTTGAATTTAGGCTGCTTGTATCTAATTGGCCTCTGAGATTTAAACTTCACAAAGTTTAGATTCCATAACCATCACAAAGTTTAGTCAACCAAAGACTGCAGCGCTGGTGTCATCAGGAAAGCTTTGGCTTCCATGACCACAGCCTGCTCTTTGGCAAGAGAGGCAGTGAGCTGCTGGGACGAGATAGCCTCCACCTGTCTCCCCTGAGGAGGAGGCTCTTCTCAGCCAGACTGGCTGACCTGCTCCACCGGGCTTTAAACTAAGCCTGTTGGAGGTCGGGGGGATTACCGCCACCGCTGGGCCTCTGAGCAACCCTTGCAAAGCTAGCAGGCCAAGGCACTTAAGGGATCCCGCCCCAGCCCTGGTACAATCTGTGGGCAAGGCAAGAGCCTCCAAGGGGACACTTGCCTGCCTGTACACAAATGCCAGGACATTGGGGAATAAGCAGGAGAAGTTCATCTTCCTGCTCAATGCAAATAATTATGACGTCATAGGGATAACGGAGATCGAGTAGATAAAAAGGGTGGGGGTGTAGCTCTCTATGTTAAGGAAAGCTACGTGTCCCTGCAAGCTGATACTGGCGACCAGGGTGAACAACTGGAGACCCTCTGGGTTAAAATCTGTGGGGGAGCACGGCACAGAGGACACTACAGTGGGAGTCTACTATAGACCTCCCACCCAAAATCCTGAGCTTGACCAAGAGTTCGCCCGGGAACTGGCTGAGGCCGTATGCTCCAGGACCCTGGTTGTCATGGGTGACTTCAATTACC